TGTGTGTGTGTGTGTGTGTGTGTGTGTGTGTGGAGGGGGTGAACAGGAGGCGGTGAGGTGCGTGTGGGTGCGGTGCAAGGGGAGGTGAAACCCAGCACACCTCGGGCGGCGGGAACTATCGGGCAGTGCATGGGGGAGCGACCGATGAGGATGGCACTTACATGCTCGACTGCAGGCAGGCGCTATATCTGGTGAAATGCGAAGCCGGCGTCGTCGCCGGCTCAGGAACAAGGGCGGCATGCACATGCGACCAAGCTGTGTGGGCACCCGCTGCAGGGAACCGTGTGTGGGGGATCAGGCTGACCCAAGTTGTGCAACAGGAGGGCCTGAACCCATGGTTGCACCCAAGCACGGCCCTTGAAGCCACACACACCCAGCCTTCTCGTCCCAAACCATGCAACCCTGTCAAATATCGGCACGCAGCCGGGGCGCCCGGGGCGCCGCGCCGCGCGCACCTCGGCCGCGACCGCCTCCGCGTCGCGCTGCAGCTGCAGCTGCTGCTCCTGCTTCATGCGCTTGGTCTCCGCCGCGCGGCTGAGGGCGGCGTTGGCGCGGTCCACAGCCGATGTGAGGGCCTCGTCCTGGCGCCTGCCGGGTGCAGGAGGTGGGGGTTGGAACATCGAATGGCGCAGGTGAGGTGCCTGTGAGATGGTGGATGTAGAAGGGGTTTGCGAGGCAGGCGGCGGCGGATGGCGGATGGCAAAGCAGTGACAGGAGGGAAAAGCTGTCCAGCAACCCTCACCTCCCCAACTTCTCACCCAAAACCTCTTCGTGTGATGAAACTGCCCACCTGTTGGCCGCCTTGGCCTCGCTGAGCTGGCGCTGCAGCTCCGCCGCACGCGACGCCAGCTCAGCGCTGAACGCCTCCACCGCGCTCGGCGGCAGCGGCGCCGCCTGGCCGCCGGCCCCTGGCTTGCCGAGACAGATCGGCGTTGAGGGTCAAAATCAGGTCTCGTGGAACAATACCATCCACAAAAGTGCATGCAGGCTACAAAGGGCTGTTGGATGCAGTCTTGAAGAGCATGAAGACTGGGATTGTATGGCACCAAGATCCTAGTTGCAGCCTGGGGCCCCAAAAAAGGCGAGGGTGCGAGTTCATATGGGCATGTGGTACCCGAGCGGCGAGGGGCCCCTGCCGCACGCACCTGCGGAGGACGGCCCGCCCGCGTGCAGGGGTATGCCGTACCGCGCGGCCGTGTCGCGCACGAGCTCGTCCCGCGCGCGGACATTAGATGCGTGCGCCTCGGCCTCGGCAGCGAGGCGGCCGTGGCGCTTGCAGGCCTGGCCGGGGTGGGGCGCGATGGCGCGCGTGATCGGTGTGACTTTGGCACCTTATTGCACAGACTGAAGCCTGCCAAAACATGTTGGCCCTACCAACCTGGTGCGCAGGAAGCCGCCTTGTGTGACCAACTCCAAGCTGAGGTGGCTGGTGGGTTGCGGTGGATTGGCCCCAAGCATGGACTAGCAGCGCTCCCCTTGCCTTGCCCCCACCTTGGAATATTGCTCCTTGAGCGCCTCCGCCTCGAGCCGCTTGCTGCCCGCCTGGAGTGTGAGAGTGGGGGCATGTAAGCGAAGAGTGGTTGGCTGCGCGTGGCGAGGGGGCAGGGACGAGCAGGGCCAAGGGGCATGCCCAAGCGTGCAGCGGGGTGCCTGGTTCACAACAGCAAAGCCTGAATCGGGGCCCCCACCCAGCTGGCTGGCGCGACTAGCTGCTGTGCAGCCCCACAGGGCGCCGAGCCTGCCTCGGAGTCAACCACGCAGCCAAACGAATTCGCTCCGACACAGGCCGCGGTGTCCGAGCTCGCAGGCGCCCCCCACCCCCCCTCCTTGGAGGACCGTTGAGAGGCCCGGAAGGGGAGGCCGGCCGCACCTGTCTGGTGAGGTCCGCCGCCTCTGCCTGCTTGGCCCTCATCTCAGCGTCGTAGTTTTCCAGGTAGGCCTCCAGCTGGTCGGTCGTCTCCTCAAACTCCTCCGTCAACCTGGGGGGTAGGAGGTCAAGTGGGGGCATGCACACGCACATGTGTGTGTGTGTATGTGTGTGTGTGTGTGTGTGTGGGTGTGTGTGTGTGTGCGTGTGCGCGCGTGTGAGTGTGTGCATGTGTGCGTGTGTGTGTGCGCGCGCAAGCGCACACGTGGGGGAGAACCACTTGAGCAGCAGAGCGACATGATATCGGAGGAGTGCATACACCAGCGTACGCCTGCTGGTGTATGCTGTAATGCACTCTGTGCATTGCACTGCCCCATACCAGCTACAACCCCACTCAAAAACAACACGTGTGCAGACAGCCCATGAGACAACCGAAGCCGGCAGGAACCAGCCTCGGGGACGTCGATCAGAACGTCAGGCCCACCCCCACCTGGACAGCTGCTCTGCGTGCTGCTTCTGCACAACGCCGATCGCGGCATCAAGCTGCGAGAGAGGGACGGCGTCAATGCGGTAGTACCGTAACAGAAGGCGGGATGCAGCAGACACGTAGTGGGATTCTGCAGGCCAAGGCTGCGACGGAGCGGTGTCCATGTCCTTCCCCCCTGTAAGCCCCCCACCCCACCAACATCCCCGCTTCATGCCACATGCCCACCAGGTGCCCGCGCACGTGCGCCCACCCCCACCTTGGCCTGCTGCTCGTTGATGCCCTGCAGCTTCTCGAGCTGTGAGTCAAGCCCCGCCATGTCGGCCACGATCGCCTCGATGCGGTTCTGGAGGTCCAGGATCTGGGCCTGTGAATATGGCAGGGGCAGAGTCGGAGGGGCAGGCGGTTGGCAGGATGAGAGTGTGGTCGCAGACCTTGCACCAATAGCAGGGAGAAAGGGTGGGTCGATCAAGGAGCCCCAGAGCCAAAGAATGGAGTTGGTGGAGCACTGCAGGGACGCAAAGCTCCCGGGCAACAGGCAATCTTCAAGAGGCACAGCTGGCGCAGAACCTCTCCTGATGCACTCACTTGCTCAAGATTGGTGCAATTGTAGCAGAGACATGGCTGTCACTGACAGCCCACACCCAAGAACGTACTCGCTGCACACACCCAAAGGGCGCGGCGCGCTGCGTCGGGCGCAAACGCACCTCCCCCTCCTGCACGGCGGCCCTGCCGCGCGCTACTGTGTCCCTCAGCTTGTGCGCCTGGTCCTTCTGGGTCTTCAGGGTCTCAAGCTTGAGCTTGGCGTCCTGGTTTCATGTATGGATTGGGGTGGCAGTAGGGCAGGTGAAGCGCACCTACCCCCTGAAAAGAGGACCAACCACACGACGACCGCAAGCAACCCGCCCCTCCGCCCACCAGCACGCATCGCGCCCGATTTGACCAGAGGGGCATCACAATGTAAACAGTTCAAACCATGGCCGCCTGACCTTGAGCTCCGCGGCCTTCTCTGCCTTGAGCTTCCTGAAGGCGTCCAGGGCCTTGGTGTACTTGGTGGCCGCAAATATGTCGTCAAATTTGGACTTCAGGACCTGGGGGCAAGGCGCGGCCATGAGGGTGGAGTAGATGGGGAGCGAGGGGGGCAAAGTGGTGGAGTGATGAGATAATGGAGTGTGCCGATGCAGCACCATATCCGTGTCATTCTACGCACTCTTTCTGAGCATCGCCTCATGCCAGTTAAGCAAACATATAGCATGGTGAGGATGGGGGAGGAGTTGCATGGGTGTGAAAAGCGGCTGGGATGAGATGCGGTTGAAGGGGTGGTCCGACGGCGTCCATTCAAACCTTTCTCAACGTCAATACAATACTGCAGAAACAACACGCAATGCAGCTTCTTCACCGGCATGCAAGAAAAATAGAAGTCAGAACCACCCACGACAAGGTTTGTTATGGGCGGACGCTATCTATCAACCCCCTGAGCCCCGACCCACCTTGCCCTCAGCCAGGGGCCAGTTGCTGTCCTCCTGGTGCACAAAGATGACATTCTCAAGGATGGCCTGGGAAGAGTGTGGTTGGGCACGTATGAAGGCAGTAGAAGGGGGTGATGAGGCGAAAGACGGGGAGGGGAGGGGTTGTGGGGGAGAGTAGTTGGGGCGGTGTGTTGGCGATGCGTCGAAGATCATATAGATGTCGCAAAATGGAGGGTCCTTGCAGCATACAGCACGCCTGCGTGTGTGCAGGTTGCGCTTCTGCGTGTACACCCGCATCCTTCCCGGCCCGCTGTTGGCACCATACGGGCCCCTCCCATGTATCGTCGATTGCCCTTGACCGCATAACCACCTCAGGCATCCACTTGGGCAGCGCCGCCAACAGCCAATCGACTAGGCACCAGACACTCACCCCAAAACCCCCACCACACCCATGCCATCTTGAGGGTTCACATCCCAGAGCACACGAGCAGGCTGCCGGGTGCATGACAGGAAAAACACTCCCTCCACCGCCCTCCTCCGCACAACCAAGGGGCAAGCATGCACCTTGGACACGCCCATGAGCGAGGGCACCATGCGGTCCATGTCTGCGCATCTGTATGTGATGGCCTGCTTCGAGCCAGTGTCCTTGTTGTAGGTCTGCAGGACAGAGTCCAACGTCTTGAATTGGAGGGCAGCCTTCTTCTGGGACAGCTGCGGGTAGTGGCATGAGAGGGGGGGGGAGCGGGACGGTTGAGGGGGATGCGAGTGCTCAGGTGGGCAGCAGAGGTAGGCAAGCTCAGGAGCAGAATCGAGCAGGTCCGTAGTGCTGTCGGATCCCAAGCCAGCAGTGCGTCGTGCACTAGCACTCCATGCAAAGCGCATGCATCACTTCTCTTGTGTCTGCAGTGCAGGATCCCACCTGGAAAGATCTGCACACCACCACCGGGGCCCCTAGGGCCGTCCTGAACCGCAGTTTGATCTGCGCCTTGACTTCTGTCTCGCCTGCCACCTATAAAGAGGTAGATTGGCAGTATTGTGCCATGTTTGTTGAGCATGGTCATGGCATGTGTGGGAGGCCCGGGCGTGTGAGGGCGGATGGGGGTCGAGATGTGCGAAGCAAGGTGACTTGCAGGTGAGGAGGCCTGCAGCATTCCATGCTATGGGACGTAGAGGCTTGAGCCGAGGGTTTGATACATGGAACTGGGCCCTGGCAAGGATGAAGGGGGCGGGGTTGTGAAGGCAGATGGCAACGCGGTCCCTGCTCACCTTGGGGTCATGTATGAAGGACTGGCCACTCTTGGTGTTGGGCGGCAGCTCCCCAGTGCATGCTTGCTTGAGGCACTCGATGATGGTCTAGGAGTAAGAAAGCGGGAGAAGCAGACAGGCGAGGCAGCCAAGATGGCAGCACGAGAATAGTGAGTAGCATTGTGTGACGTCACCAGTCAAAAGGGATGCAGCGAGCGCGCGCATCATGTGCACTGCACGCAAGCCAATCCTGTCGCAAGGCGCATGTGTGCAAGCATCCATGGCGGAATACGGCGGTCGCATGCTTTTCAGCGGACTGCTGGCATGTCAGCAGCAAAGTGCACGCACCGTCTTGCCGGCCCCATTGGAGCCAACGATGAGCGTGAGGGGGCGGTAGAACTCAATGACGTTTTGGTTGTCAGGAGAGAAGCTGCGCACTCCCTTGATCAGCAGCTGCGGCAGCGGCACGGGCGTGTTGCAGGAGGGTGGCAGAAGGGCATTGGCAACGGCGCAGAGGCGACAGGCACCCTCGGAACATGAAGTCACCAAGGCGGAGCCCCTATGGACGAAGCGCGGCTGTGCAGGGCCTCGGCGGCAACGTGAACGATCCATCGCGGCTTATGTTTGTCCCTACTTTCTCCACGGTGCACATCTTGGCTTCCCTTGCAGTGGGCGTACCCTGCCCGCGCCTTCAGGCGCCCAATGGACTGAAGCTATCAAACGTAAAAGCTTCTAGGAGTCATAAAATCCATACAGTATTGCGCACAGCCTAGATCCACAAGTTCAGATCACGTCTTGCGATCGCGCGCGCGGGGCGACTTGAGAGCCTTACGGAGGCTGAAATTGGTCGACAAAGTAAAAGTGTATTGCCTATAAACCAGCGAGTTGGTGCTGTGCGCTGTGCCACTGTCTGCAGCTGGGCGTGCCATGCATGCTGTGCCGGCACCCTGCTGAGTCAATCACCCCCTCCCACGCCTGCCCAGGAGCCTTCCCGAGCTGAAGAGCGAACGCAGGCAGTGGTGCAGGCACAAATCATTCACGTTACAACAACGTGGTGCAGTGCTACAGCCAAAACCAACCATGCACGCCAGCAGCCAGGCAGCACTCCACGCTCAGGCGGTTGCACAAGCACGCCGGAGGGCAGCCATGCACATTGCAACGCAGACTCATGCAGGCACAGTCCACGCAGTCTACACGCCACTCACCTGGGGTCGCCACGCCGTGTTGAACCTCCTGAATCCCATCTCCCGCCCCAAAACCCCACCCCAATCGTGTTTTGGCCAGTGACCCAACAGCGCTGCCAGCGCAAGTCATAACTGCACAAGAGTCTTCGGTCCCTGAGGCATGCTTGCTGTTTGGTCCTGAAGGTCGACCGCTTGCAGGTTATCGTGTCCAAAATGCTCCAAAACAGCCTAAGGCTGTCTGTGGGCTGCAAATGCGTGGACGTGGCGCTCAACGAACTCGGCGCCAACAAAATGTGCACGCACTGACAAGCCGGAGCGCGGCCACCACTGGCAACCACAACATAGTGGCACGGCGGGCTGCCTGCCAAGAAGTGTTGCAGCGCACAGGAGATCGCGGAACCCGATAGTCCCAAGGCACTCGGGGTGGGGGCGGCATGGCACCTGGTGTCCTGGATGCCAGGTCTGCCGCCGCAACTGCATTACGCCACTGCCACCGCCTGGGTGTGGCCCATTACTGCGCCGCCTTGAAGCGCTCGGCACGCGCCTGCATTGCAATGTGAGAGAGAAGGCTGGCACTCAGGCCCACGCCACTTGTATGGATCCACGTGCGCCAACATTGCCGCAACAGCGGCTGACGCACCGGCCCCATGCATCCAAAATGCACCCCAGCAGCGTGGTTGGTGTGTACCGCATGCTTGAGAGCAACGCTGGCGCCGCACCTTCTTCTTTGCCTCGTCCTCCGCGCTCGCAAGGGCGCTGCCCTTTGCCACGCCAAACCTCTCCGCGCGGGCCTTGAGCTTGGTGGGGTCCAGCAGCTCTGCCTTCTTGGCAACAAGCGCTGCCTGGCGAGGGGAGAGACGGTGGTGCAATTGCAGCAGGCAAGGCGACGGAGGATGGGTATCAGAGCGTCTTTGCTTGGCCACAACCCCGGTGCATTCAGCCCTCTGAAGCGGTTGCTAAGACCATGGCAGATGATGACAGGGTTGGCCTGTCAATCACCCAATGTCGCACTGTGCAGCACTTCAGCCTGTTGCTGCGCAGCGGCCCACCTTCTCGTCATCTTTGGTGGTGATGCCAAAGCGCTCGCGCCTCTGCTTCTTCTTCTCATCATCTGCCTCAGCATCCGGCTGCGAAGGTGGTGAGAAGGGACGTCAAGGTGGAATTGCACTGACAGGACGTGGTCGCAGTGGTGAGGAACATGGAGGCGTGGGAAAGACGCCTGCTGAGATGCGAACATGTCAACACAGCTTGCGCCGCCCCTGCACTAGACGTAAACCAGCAGCATACCCCGTTGACAAGCAGGGCACACTTTTGCTGCTACTGCTGCTGCTGCTGCTGCTGCTGCTGCTGTTGGCCTGTTGTTGGCCATTCCCAGAACTCTCACCAGGCCAAACCGCGCAGCCCTCTTTTTCTTCTTGTCGTCTTCGGACAAACCAAACCTGTCAGAGATGCATGGTGTGGCCCGTCCACACTGGCTGCACACCTTGAGATACTTCGGTGCATCGCTGTGTGCAATGTGCCTCTCGCAGCCCGCCAGCCTCGAGGCAGCCATAGAGCCTGCCCGAGGTCCGTCCATCAGGCAAGCCCTCACGCCCATCCTGGTGCTCACTTCTCGCCGCGCAGCCGCTTCCGCTCCTCCGCACTAAGGACCGCCACAGACTCTATGTCCCCGTGTGGCGCAGGCGCCTCGGGTGCCTCCGCAGCCACTGCCTTGGGGGCCTAGTGAGAGGCAGGCCAGGGGTGGTTAGCTGAGGCGCCACAACACAAGCAACAACAGGACAACAGTCGGTGAAGAACCCGCTATCTCAGTAATGCAATCGAATCCAGGCTGCAGCTGCAGAGCATGACGAAAACAACAGGGTCAAAATGCAAATGCACCCCTGCCCCCCCCCCACCTCGTCCTCTCCCCCGAGCTTAATTATTTTGCTCGAAGGCGCCGCAGCTGCTGCAGGCGCCACAGCTGGCTCCGCCGCCGCCAGGTTGAACTCAATGCGCTGGTGCTTGCCACTGCTGTGAGCCGAGCCGTTGGCGGGTGCTGCTGCGGCCTGCTCCGCCACAGGCGG